AACACTAACAACAGCACACACCAGTAATACTAACAACACACCACCACCAGTAACACTAACAACAGCACCACCACCACCACAACACTAACAACAGCACCACCACCACCAGCAACACTAACAACAGCACCACCACCACCACCACCAGTAACACTAACAACAGCACCACCACCAGTAACACTAACAACAGCACCACCACCACCAGCAACACTAATAACAGCACCCACCACACCACCAGTAACACTAACAACGCACCACCACCAGTAACACTAACAACACACCACCACCACCAGCAACACTAACAACAGCACCACCACCACCACAACACTAACAACAGCACCACACCACCAGCAACACTAACAACAGCACCACCACCACCAGCAACACTAACAACAGCACCACCACCACCAGCAACACTAACAACAGCACCACCACCACCACCACCAGTAACACTAACAACAGCACCACCACCAGTAACACTAACAACAGCACCACCATCAGTAACACTAACAACAGCACCACCACCACCACAACACTAACAACAGCACCACCACCACCACAACACTAACAACAGCACCACCACCACCACCACCAGTAACACTAACAACAGCACCACCACCAGTAACACTAACAACAGCACCACCACCAGTAACACTAACAACAGCACCACCACACCAGCAACACTAACAACAGCACCACCACCACCAGCAACACTAACAACAGCACCACCACCACCACCACCAGTAACACTAACAACAGCACCACCACCAGTAACACTAACAACAGCACCACCACCAGTAACACTAACAACAGCACCACCACCACCAGCAACACTAACAACAGCACCAACCACCAGCAACACTAACAACAGCACCACCACCACCACCACCACCAGTAACACTAACAACAGCACCACCACCAGTAACACTAACAACAGCACCACCACCAGTAACACTAACAACAGCACCACCACCAGTAACACTAACAACAGCCCCCCACCACCCCAGCAACACTAACAACAGCACCACCACCACCAGCAACACTAACAACAGCACCACCACCACACCACCAGTAACACTAACAACAGCACCACCACCAGTAACACTAACAACAGCACCACCACCAGCAACACTAACAACAGCACCACCACCACCCACATAACAACAGCACACGACCACCACCACCAGTAATACTAACAACAGCACCACCACCAGTAACACTAACAACAGCACCACCACCAGTACACTAACAACAGCACCACCACCAGTAACACTAACAACAGCACCACCACCACCACCACCACCACCAGTAACACTAACAACAGCACACCACCACCACCACCACCAGTAACACTAACAACAGCACCACCACCAGTAACACTAACAACAGCACCACCACCAGTAACACTAACAACAGACCACCAACCACCACCACCACCACCAGTAACACTAACAACAGCACCACCACCACCAGTAACACTAACAACAGCACCACCACCAGTAACACTAACAACAGCACCACCACCAGTAACACTAACAACAGCACCACCAGCAACACTGCCACTACGTCACTCCACCACGCACTACATTCCTCCATGGTTCTCGCAAAATGGTCAAAAACCACATTCGCCGGAATCCGTCAATCCCAGCAATCTTACCGTTAATCCCAGCAATCTTGCCCTTAATCCCAGTCATCCCGTCAAGTGTATACAACAAGAGGACAACTTCCGGCAGCACTGGCACTCCTCTTACTCCAAATCTACAGGAGAATGACTTATTACACTATTCCCACCATGACAACAGCACCAGCAGAAGCCTCGTCGTAAGACTTTCTTAAGAGCTTCCAAGACTTCCACCTCCCAATACCTAGAATGGTACCTTAAGCAGCTATTTCTACAGCTTCACTTAGCACTACACATCAATAACTACAGAATGACTACCTTAAACAGACCTTCCTAGGCTTCAGTTATCACCACACTACATCAATAACTTCAGAGAGCCACACACAATCCTCAACAGAAACAGTATGGACAGAGCAACAGCATTGCCTTACAAATACATTATATTACTGGTAAGTAACGTAATATCTAATCATCTAATGCACCACTGCTAATGGTGGACACATGGACACAGTCGCCACCAGCGCCTCGACTTCCCTCAGAGACTTAGTGAAGAATAAGAACAAGAAGACAGACAATGCCAGCAACAAGGCTGGCAGTGTACATCATACCTTGCGGAGGTTGTGACAAAAAATACCTAGGTGAAATATCAAGAACACCTGAACTCAAGACTTGGAGAACACCAACATGCCTGCAGACTGGACAATTACAATAACAGTTTGCAACACAACTTCAGGACATTCAATGAAGGCTAGCTAACAGTTCCCGAAAATTATTTGCATGGTAACAGGTGACTAGAAGGAGAAATGGCATCAACAAGCAATACCATCCCACGGAATTCAGGCAGCTTAGAGAGTATGGAGAACCATGACTTGAGTTTCAGAAAGACCTGCCTAGTATGGGCTGATAGGCCTGCTGCTATGTTCTTCCATTCTCGTGTACTTACGTTAACATTAACACCGCTATGGGCCACAGTGAGAGGCCTAACAGCCTACTCAATTCTTCCATTCCTTCAACCAAACAAGCCTAGCCCAGGGCCGGCCTCAGAGACTAGGAAAACTTCAGATCTATCATAAGTTCAAAGGTAATGTAGACATTTTTTTTAGATTACTCAAAAAAATTAATACTAATATTAACGTATATTCATGAATTATTGTAGTATATATACACACAGCTCGTCTTGCTTCTCTGTATAAGTGAAGAAGACACGGGGGGGGGGGCGAAACGTTGCCTGAATGTCTTGAGTCACTCAAGACATCAACTTTTTGATCTCGCTATACGAGTTCCACCATTGTCAGTGTGTATGACATCTTCAGTGTGTTTGCCCCTTTTCTTAACGACCCCTGGTGTTTCTTAACGACCCCCTTGTTTCATTAACGGCCCCTGGTATTCTTAACGACCCCTGGTGTTCTTAACGACCCCCGTTTTTAACGACCCCCTGTTTCTTAACGACCCCTGGTTTTTTAACGACCCCCTGGTATTCTTAACAACCCCTGGGTTTCTTAACGACCCCCTTGTTTCTTTACGAGCCCCAGGTGTTTCTTAACGACCCCCATGTGTTTCTTAACGACCCCGGTGTTTTTTAACGACCCCCTGGTGTTCTTAACGACCCCCAGGTTTCTAACGAGCCCCCGTGTTTCTAACGAGCCCAGGTGTTCTTAACGACCCCCTGGTGTCTTAACGACCCCCTGGTGTTTCTTAACGACCCTGATGTTTTTTAACGACCCCTGGTGTTCTTAACGTCCCCTTTTTCTTAACGACCCTGTTCATAGGCTCCTGGTATAACGACCTCCTGGTGTTCTTTACGACCACCCGTTTTTACGACACCCTAGTTTCTTAACAACCCCTGGCGTTTTTTTAAAAACCCCCCCGTATTCTTATAAAAGATCCCCTGGTGTTTTTAACGACCCCAGGTTTTTAACGATCCCCTTGGGGTTTTTTAACGAGCCCCAGGGGTTTTTAAAGACTCCAGGGGTTCTTTACCCCCCATTTCTTAACGGCCCCGGGGTTTTAAACGAGCCCCGGGGTTCTTTACGACCCCCCGGGTTCTTTACGGCCCCAGGTGTTCTTTACGACCCCCGGTTTTTTTTACAGCCCCAGGGTTCTTAAGACCCCAGGGGTTTTTAAGAGCCCCAGGGGTTTCAAAAGGCCCCCGGT